CCCAGTTTTTTAAAGGAAGAGGCACTATTGCATAGGAGACATTTTTAGTAGGTCTCAGCTGTTTTGCTAAGAAAATTATTACGTTCACCTTAAGGGAATAGTAAAATCTTATTCTATCTTTATCCAGCATTTATTGTTATCCCCACTGGACTCTGCTATCAAGGTCTGTAGCTGTGCTGTCTGGTAGCATCCCCTGAGGTCTGGGGCCTTCAGCTCTAGCATCCTGCACGCTCGAAGCAGTGGCAAATCACTGTGTAAAATCTTATGTGTGGCCTCCCAGCAGCTGTCCTGAGGTTAGGGGGCAGGGGCACCCACAGGCCACGTGCAAGGTATCAATACCTGCTACCTGTGTGCTCTGTGTGTAACATAACCCTGACCACTTTTAATTAACAATAGCAACACAAGTCAGCAGCACAGACAAATAGCGAGACTGCTGTCTAGGGAGAAGCTTACCCAAAATTTTGAAGGAACAGGCAAAGGGGGGAGAATCTGAGAAAAGCATGTGAAAGCCAGCTAGTGCACAGCGAATGGCTGAAGCACCAGCTGCTGCTCTACAGTAGCTGTGAATCCTCCTCTCCACAAAGGCCTGGCTTAGTTTTTAGAAATGTGGATTTTTCTGGTGTTATTAGCCAACGTGTAGTGCAGGAAGCAGCAGAAAAAAATCTTGGTGCCAGTGTTTAAAAGGGAAACCAGAGTGGTAGAGGTACAATCAATTTTGTCTTCCTTGGGTTTTGAAATCAATGAAATGTGAGCTTTTCCCATTGATTTTTGGAATCTGAAATGATTTTGGGAAGCTATTAAATAAACTGACATGTTTGAGAACCAAATCCTCTTCTAGAGCTTTGTGAGACACATATGGGAGCCCACCAGAATGCACTGATATGCTTGCAGACTTCTTTCCATGCTAATAGCTGTTGCTGTCACATCTGTGATGCCAAACCCCAGCTGAGGCAGGGCTCCCTGCTCCTCTGTGAGAGTGGGGAGAGGAACAGGTCCAATCCAATTCCACAATCTGAGCCTCGTGTACTTGTTCACCAGCTGAGAAATGGGTGCAGCTCCAGCATTGTGAGTGCTGGTTGCTAATTATTAGCCACTGCAGCTGGAAGAGGCCTTCTAGGTCTTCTTGAGCCCTTTGTCCAGGCACATATTCCAGTGCTGTAAGCAACAGAGTCCTGTTGGTCCTTCCTGGAAAAATTGTATGCTATAAAACCCCTCCCAGATATATACTATAGTTTATAACAGAGATGGTATGGAACTATTGCTATAAGTTGCCTAGAAAGAAGGAAAGTCCTGAGCAACACAGACCCTGACCCCAAACTAAACCTCATGGGAAGCTCTGTGCTGAGCTTTGACTAGAGGAGCTTATGTTAAAGCCACATCTGTGGATCAGAGTGATCAAAAGCTTTCACTCCTTCCTGATCAGTGCACAAAGGCTAAACAATGAACAAGCAATGTTTCATCCTTCCGTGCTTGTCTGTGGCAGGAATCCATTTGCTAGGACCTTTGGAGGAACAGCCTGCTGGTCATGGTAAGCAACATGAAGTCCTATGGACTGTCCCAGCTATCCCATGGCTTGTCTGATGGGCTCTTATGCATCAGAGAGGAAGTGCATAAAGCCCTGCTTGGCCCTCAAAGCTCCAGTCATGTTTAGAAAGAAGGCTTTTATGGGGGGGTGGTGGAGGGGGTGAAGGCAAAAAATTTATGTTTAATCTGGATTCATTTCCTCTGTAATCAAAAATAGCCTTGAAGCTGTCTCCTACGTGATGACTCCTTTCCTCTTTTTCCCCTAGAAAGTAATTTTTTTCTCAGATCTGGAACTTCATTTCAAGGCTCTGCAGATGCATCGTACTAATAAATGTCACATTAACCCATCTCTTCTGATATTAACTTGAGCAGGCACCTGATGAAAGCTGATGAGGTAGGAAAAGCAAAGCTATGAAAAAATAACATGATACAAACCAGGTGCACCAAGACCAAACCTTGAATGAGAGTAGGGAGTTGTGCCAGACCCTTGGATACAAACTTAGGGCAGAAGCAGTGGGGCTGCTTGTATTTGAGCGACAAGAGTAAATGTGGATCATGTTTGTGGCTGTCCTTTAGTAAGTAGACCAAGAGCTGAAAGACCAGAGGACAGCAAGTTGGTGGGGGACAAGTTCTCTGGACTTGCTCAGCTAGGAATTTTCCAAGGAAGAGCCAAGCATGCAGCTTGGATGTATCAGTCTAAATTTTGGATGGGAGCTGTGTGAAATTCTTACCTGTATGTGTTAAGTGCATACTAGGTGGATGAAGGAGTAGGAATAGATCCTTTCTGGCTCAGTTAAATGCTCCCCGAGTTTCTTCCAGAACTTGTACAACACTGGCAGTGTTCTGTTTTGCTTTTTAATTGTATGTTGCAAGTCAATGCCTGTTACGCAGGTTGTCTTTATCGACAGTGCTGCTGTCAGGTACATTCTGCTGGCAGCATCTTTATTAACAGCATGGTTGCCAGCGGAAGAGTGAAGCCATAAGATGTTGAAATCATGGATTAAGTTAGAAGAATTTTTTAATGTTAGGTGGACAAGGAAAGGAGAAAGTCTATATTTCTAGTTCTGCTCCAACTCTCAAGAGCTCAGAGAGGCCTTTCTGGTTCAGTAAGAGATCTTGTCTCTCTGAGATTTCAGTTTCAGGTGATCATGGAGGAGTCTGAAAGGGAATGGTTTTTGCTTTACAAATTTTGTATTTGTTGTTGTTGCTGCACAGTGTAATTATTAAATATGCTCGTCATTCACAGAGAAAGAAAAGCTTTTATGAAACAAATCATGTATGTTTGTTAAGTATATTAGTATTTGATGGTCTTTCAGTAGTTTTAGTTTAGATTAGGTAACACTTGAAACATCATGGGACCTTGGTATTCATTAAAAACTGCAATCCAGCATTGTTTAGTGAAATGGTAATAAGCAGTCTAATAGTTTGAAATCCCTGTATTTTATTTGCCAAAACTAACATAAAGATAAATTTATTAGTGCTAGTATATAACGTGTTTGTATGCTTTCATCTCAAGTTAGTACCTTGCAAGCACACCTCTAAGACTAAGGAGATAAAAAATTTCATATACTCCCTGTTGTGATGAACATTTTCTGCCTGAACTGAGCAATGCAAGACCAGGCCCATATGGAACAGGAGGAAAGAGAGAAATGCCTGGGAGCATTTCTTAAATATATTAGGCATGATTTTATGTCCGTAGCTGAGGAGATGAGGTGAAATGAAAAGTCTGCGTACAATAAAGAGCTCTGTCTGTCTGAAGTTATTTTCAGCTGTCAATTTGTGTGCCACCCCCAGGGCTGGTTCCTGCCACGAGCTTCTCCTAACCACCAGGCCTTGCTGCCAGGCCTGTTCTCTGGGACCTAAGCACAAGTGGTTGTTTGGGATGGCCTGATGGAGAACCCTACCTTAGGAGGGTTCCCCTGTGCCAGCCAGGATCTCATCCTCCCCTTGGTGTTGGAGAAAGCTGGAGAGCTGGCATCTCCTGTCCCTTGGCAGAGGTGTGAGGTCTGAAGGTGGCTGCCCAGAGGATGGCTGGTGTGGGCTGGCACCAGCATCCCTGTGTCCCTCTGGTCCTGGTCCACCTTTCCGCCTGGCCACTACCTTGTTTGGGTTATCTGGGGACCACAGGAACAGCAGGGAGGGCTGGGGAAATACAGGGCTGAGGCTGAGCCCCATGAGATGGTCTGTGCTGCTGCCTCCTACTCATTCACCCCACCTGGCAGCAACGGCATCCTCCTCCAGCTGCCCTGGTCTGCATTTCCAACTGTGGACTGCAAGTAGCCAGACCAGAATCAGTAACTGCTCCTCCAGGTCTCCAGATCCCTTCTGTCCTAATACCTTGGAGCCAGGGGCTGCCCTGTGCATCCATAACGAGAAGGTAGCAGCTGATTTTCAGGGACTCAGAGGTCTCCCAGCTTCTCTCTGGAGGATGGAATAGCCCACCCCTGGGCAGAAAGACCCTGCCCCATGCAGCTGCCTCAGGGGTCGTTACCTTACAGCACCTGGGTTTTGTGGCTCTCCAAGGAGTGGAAAGCCATGCCAGAAGGTAAAGCTGCTGGAGACACACATCTGCCCATAACTGCTGTGGTAGCGGCTTGCAAAAATAGGGAGAATTGCAAGGGGAGACAAACCCATGTGCAAACACTGCTGTGTGTCTTGTGTAAGCTACAAAGCTACTCTCCTGTTACACGGCCATGGAAACCAGCCCCCAGTCATCTTCTGCCAAAGTCAAATAGCAACTTTGGAGGCAGTGTGTATTTTTTGCCTTAAAATGACTTGCTGTCTCACAAGTTACTATTTGACTTTTTTTTTTTTTTTAAAAAAAAAAAAGGGTGGTTTCTGCAAGCGCAAACCAAAGCACATAGCTTCAAATGGTTACCAGGACTAACGCTGCCTATGTAATTACATTGCCTATATTTAATCTCACTGAAGTGTTTGGCAGATCCCTTGAATTTACGATATGCAGTCAATATCTTCTGCTCTGAGGTTCAGCTACTGTGTGTGTCCCTTCCTTTGCTTGAAATGCACAAAGTCAAGTCAATATACTTGGAGGGTAGGGTGCAGGAGCGACCGCGGCTCCATGAGTGTGTGCCTACATCTATATATACACCATGGAGATCTCACAGGGATGTGTGTGTGCATGTTACATGCAAGACAGCTGCTCTGCTTGTATTTGTTTTGGAAAGGGTTTGCTCTGGTTTCATTGTGGCTTCCTTTAAACAATCTGAAAATCCCCCCCTGGGTTCAGAAGAATAAATATGCATGGCTTGTAATTCTGTTGCAGCTCTCGCTCCCAGCTGATAGGGTGACGTGGAGTTTGGAGGCTCGCAGATTGGCTTTTTGATTTGGCTTCTTGCTGCAGTTGTGCAAACCTCGCCGTCTCCCAGAAATCAGGCTCAGCGCTCCGCCGCGCACCGCGATGCTGGGAAGCCTGGGCACAGCCCCGGCGCTGTGAGAGCGGGGAAGCCCAAGCAGATTCAGTTGCAATCTGGGGTACAACCCATTTTCCTCCCCACCACCCCCCCCTAGGACCATCTCCATCCTCCTCCCACCTTCTCCAGCTCTCCCTTCCCTCCCCAAACTAGCCGGCGCGGAGCTGAAGACCGAGGCTGGTGGATTTATCAACATTTTACGCGTGTCCCCCCCACCTCCACCCCCTTTTCCAGATGCACCTCCCCGCTCACCCTGACAGCTGCAAAAGAGAGCACAGGTTTCGTAGCGAGCACGGCAAGTTGGACTGACATGCAGAGGAGAAGCCCCCGCACGGCGCCGGTGACTGCCCCCGGGATGCAGTGAGCTCCGTTAGGAACCGGAAGGATTTAGAGCCAGCTGGAGCCCCCCCACTCTCCAAACAGAATAACAATCATAAAAATAAAGTCAGGAAAGCAGCCAGAAGGGGTAAGTACCAGGGTGCTACCCCCCTGCTCCGTAGGGAAGGCGAGGCTGCCGCTTGGGTGTCCTGCCACCGAGTGCCTGCTCACGCCTCGCATGCGGATGGTAGGGGGGGCTCCGGGGAAGGGGGGGGGTCCCCATATTTTGGTTTTCTGGGCTCAGCCGTGTCCCCGCGGCGGCTCTGCGTGCGTGTGTGAGTGTGTGTGTGTGTGTGTGTGCGTGAGTGTGTTGCGGGGGCAGCGCTTTGCGTACGGCGCCCAGCCGCCGCTGCAGCCTGCGCGCCGGGGAGGGGGCGCGGGGCCGGGGCCTGGCGGCGCTGGGGGGGGGCTCCACCGGGGGGATAACGGGGGGGACCCCCATCCCGGGAGCCCTCCCTCTGCTAGGGGGGGTGCCCCGGCCCGGCCCGGAGCTCCGCGGCCCGCAGGGATGCCGTGGAGGGGAGGGGGGGGGGTGGTGGTGCCTGGGGAAGCTCCTCTCATGCAGTGCTATAAATTTATTTTCTCATTATTATTTTTCATTTTTTTTTCCAATTTTTCCTTTTCCCCCTTAATTTTATTATTGCTATTATTATTATTATTATTATCCCCCCTCCCTCCCCACAACGGGGGGGCTGGGCCATCTCTTGCTGGGGGCCCCAAGGCCGCCGTCCCGGGCAGCTGTCGCGCTCTGTCCGCCGGTGCCGGGTTGTTTACCCCCGGTGTCAAATATAGCTGGCTGCTGCGCCCGGCTGCCCTAAATAGGGCACGGGGCTGCCTGCGGGGCCCCGCAGCCCCCGGCCGCGAGAGGGGGAGAGAAATTACACATACACGCACACACACGCACGCTGGCCTAAATGTTGGGTGATTTCTTGCTCTCCCTCCCGCCCAGCCTCTTGTCAGGGCTTTATTTTTTTTCACCTGTGTCTAAAGTATCGCCCTGGGCTGGAGATGAAACCACTGACAGTGTTTTCTTTTTTAAAAAAAATATTATAATTTGAATTATTCTAAAACGTGAGGATATGGGCATTTCCCCCCCCTCTCCCCCAAGTGGAAATGTGGAGTAATAGTTGGCTTCCTGGCTCCGTGGTTTATTCCTGGGCTTGTCTGGGGGATTTCACCCAGAAAATATGTTTCAGATCTAAGGTGAGATGCTGGAGGAACTGCATGTGCCATACGCACATCCTCCCGTCCGTGTGCATATATGCATGTTTCTTTAATCCTTCACATCTCATAGAGCAAAAGGGTGATTTTCTTGAGCAGTTTTTTTACCTCTGGAGAGGACAGTGCTCGAAGACTTAGGTAACAGTCAGCAGCACCTTCCCAGCCAAGAGCACTCATCCCGTGCTCTCTGGGGGCACGGCGGGAGGCCTGCCAGAGCAGAGCTGGCCTTGGGGGACTGCTGAGACACAGAGGCCTTGGAGATGCTCTGGAGGTTTGGTGCAGTGGGGAGAGCATCGCTCCCAGGCGGCACAAACATTTCTAGGGAGTTCCCAGTCCTGCTCCATCCACTGCTGTTGCAGGCATTTGTTTGCCCTGGCAATGGTTTCGCTAAGAAAGTAATTCACGTTTGATGCTTGCAGTCAGGCTTCTGTGGTCAACTGGAACGAGACTTGTTTCCTGAGCAGGAGGAGTAATGTTAGGAAGGAGCACGTCCAGCTGCTGCCAAGGGCCAGCTGGGGAAGAGCAGGAGCAGCACAGGAACCCTCGGTTCTGCTGCTAGCTTGCAACGTGTTGGGGGTATGTTGGTCACCCTCCTGTTGTAAATAAAAGGGGTTAACACCAGCCAGGGTGGGGAAGAAGAGGAATTAATGTGAATAGGTGGTAGGTGCAGTAGAGCAGCCTGGTTTTTTTTTTGTTTTTTTTTTTTTTTTTTTTTCTTTCCTCCAAGCCAAGTATGAATCCTATTCTAGGAAGTCGGTGGTTCAAGCATTGCCCAGATGCAGAAGGTACAGCAGTAATCCCCCTGCCAAGGTCTTGTGTGAGGGCAGTGGAAATGCAGGTGGGCTCCCAGCCTCCGTGGCAAGCCTCTGGTGTGCTGGTGGGCACGTGGGTTCACGTCTCATTTACACAAAGCAGCTAATGATGTTTTCCAGCCCTTTATGGGGATTTGGTGAGGACAAGCTTGCCCCAGCCAGTATATGATGGTGTGCATGGGGGCCTGGCCTGACCTGCTGCCACGTGTGCCTGGTCCCACATCATTTCAGAGGGTCCTTCCTTACACAGGCATCCTCCATCCCCAGGGAAGGGAAGAGCCATAACTGAGTGTGTCAGCAGTTTTTATCAGAAAGCGAGTTAAGATGTATTTCCTCCACCAATATTTTTTAAAGTGAAGCGCTACACAGATAAATGGTCTGTCTGTCAGGGTTTTGTTTGCTTGTTTTAAACAAACAGCATCGGTCTCCTCCCCTAAGCTTCCCCAATGACCAAACAGCGTTGACAAATAGTTCCTTGTTCTTGTTGTTGTGTTTCAGATGCCTTTCATGTGCTTCAACAGTTAAATAGATGGCTTTGATTGTCTGCCAGGTATTTTTTTTTTAATCAGGCAGTAATATCTAATTCAGTATTTTAAAAAAAATGAAGGAAATTAGATTATGCAGACAAGAAAAAATCTCCGTAATATGGAAAATGAATCTCTGTAGCCAGGAAATTGATAGTTGTGATGCTCTGTCTACCATTACCCACTGTGTTTAGGTATTGTGGCACAGATTAATACTATTGTTGATTTAATGTTTAGATAACAGCAACTCCTAAAGGCATCAGCCCAGCTGGGGGCCCATGTTTCTAAGTGCCGTACAAATGTCTAATAAATGACAGTCTCTGTCCTGAAGAGTTTTGTGCGCTGCGAGATGTGAGATCATAAGCTCCTCTTGGGGCACATCTAAAGCACTTTCTGCACAGCTGAGCTCGTGGCCTGGTGTTTGCTGATTTCAGTGATGTGGGGTTTGGGGCAGTAAGCGAGCTTGGTGTCCCTGCTTAGCTCCGGAATGAAATCTGGGACCCACCCCAAGGCTTGGTGTCCTGCAGCATGAAGGGCCCATCGGGCTGCTGGGGGAGTAACATGGTGAAGGCAGTAGCTGGCTTCCCTCCTTTCCCTCTGCTTTCCCTGCCTGGATGTTTTAAACCACAGACTCTGGGTGATGGCCATCACAGATGTATGTGCACAAAGGCCTCCTGCTCTCCGGATTTTTGCAGGAATAACAAGGCATCAAGCAGCAGTGATGTGTCAGGCCAGTCTGAAGGTACCACCACCCCCGTCTTGCCAGTGTTGCAGTGAGGAGAAGCAGGTGTTGTTCCTGCAATACAGTGTCACAGGGTAATTAGTTCAGCCCATAAGACACATTTATAAACAGGTGACCAGCAGGCCCCCATGCTCCTTCGACTCTCGGTTTTCTGGTAATTCTGTCTTTAAATCCGCTTGCTGGAGCCTTTGATCACACAGCTGAGCTGTCACTGATGTCTCTGACAGTTGACATCATGGAAGAGAGGGGAGCTTAGGGCTCTTAACATTTCTTTTATGATGATAGCTTGTTTTCTAACTAAACACTCCAATGAGGATTTTCCATCAGAATAAAACAGGGAGCTTTTCCAGAGCACTCAGATTTAGGAAGAAGCTTCTGTTTCCATTCAGCATTTCCATTCACTAGCAGATTATTTCAAGGCTGCAAAGCTGGGCTTGCTCTATTTGCTTCTTTAGCATACTCTGCTGTCTTTTTACCTAAGCCTCCTAACTCAGGACAACAGCAGAGACAGCCAGGTCAAGAGCAATCAGAAATACTAAATATCCTTTGCTGCTGGGCATGTTTTGCATCCAGGGAGGTGTCAAAGAGCTTTAGAAACTGTAGACATACGAGACTGCATTGCCACTGCTTTCATCATCTCCCACTCCTGGACTGGTACTTGGAGGCTGTCTCAAAGCAAACAGCAGCAGTATCCAGCAGCAAGGCAGGGCACGGTTTTAATCAAGAGAAATGTGGCATTGCAGGATGTACGTGTGAGAGGGGACTTTGTAGATCTGACTGGTGGAGGTTGCATGGAAGGTGACATGTCCAGGAGTGAATATGGGGCCTCCAGTGCCAGTGATGCAGGGTGCCAGGGTGTTGGTGTGCTGGTGAAAGCTGGTTTCCTTCCCCAGGCCACAGCAGGGGCAAAACCAAGGTTGGCACATGTCAACAACTCACCCTGCTGCTGGGCTGCCATGCTGGCTGAATGTGCCCTAGCTCCCCCTGATGCAAGTAATGGTAGGAGGGAGTCTGTCACCAGGGTCTAGGCAGGCTGTGAAACCCACCCCAGGGCTCCTGGTGCCCCATCCCACAGCTCCCTGTGCCCAAGGAGGGGAGGGCAGCGCTGCCTCTGCCTTGTGCTGCTGCCCTCTCAGCTGCTGATGGATGGGGGCTCACAGTAGGGCTCTGCAAAGAAGCTGTTGTCTTGTCCTCCCTGCTGTGGGCAGTCAGGAGTATTTACTGTGGGGACACTATGGCCTGGATGTCTTGGTTTTCCACCCTGAGGTGTCCATTCCTTGGTGAGAAGTAATATTTTGATGTAGAGTTGAAAGTTCACCTTAATCATCTTCAGTGCTTTTGACTGGGCTGATGCAGTGACCCTCAGACACGCACATTGGTTGGAAAAACTGCAGATGGAGAAGTTTCTGCCTTTGTGTAGTGGGACAAGTTGATAAATTGTCCAGCAGATGTTGCAGGATTCACAGCTGCAAGAGGCAAACCTGCCCCTGCCCATCCAGCTAATGCCCCTGCCATGCTTGTCATTTTTATTTGGGTTTCTACAGCCTTCCCACCCTGGCTGCTTCTTCCTGCTCCTATTCCACCCCCTGCAGGCTACTGGCACAGCAAAATGTGCGGCCAGGTGTTGGATTCAGTCTGCTTTACATCCAGATCAGTTCCTGGTCCTTACTGGTGGCATAGCCATGCAAACGGTTGTGCCAACAAAAAAGCAAGAGGTAGCGCAGAGTGGGAGCAAATGACCGGAGGTGAAAAATGCTCGGCTTGGCTTAAGAAGCCCTGCTTCCACCTG